CATTTCCCCAATAGTGAAATCTCCCATCATTTCCTGTCCTGACAGGATGTAAAAGGAAATCTCTCCAACAGGTTCATATACTGCTAAAAACAGTACTCCAACACTTACCTCTATCCAAACCTAAAGAAAATTGTGAAATACTTCAACATAAAGCAATGACGTTTATCCACAGTAATGTTAGAGTTTCTCTAAGGTTTCCAATTTTATGTTAAATATCTTAAAATAAAAAAGCATGTAAAAGTATATGCTTTTATGTGAAACCACAGCAAAGTAAAAGTTGTAAACGGACTTTGAATTTTCAGTGTTAATATAATTATGGTGTTTACTCAATAGACAACATTTTACCAAGATAACGTTTAGAACTTACTCCAATTACAGTTACACAGTTTTCTCACCTCTAACTCAAGGTTGAAAATATGCAAATGGAATAAACTTTAATAAGAGAGCAATGTAATTAGGTAATAGTTCTAAAATTTAGAATGTCAAAACAGTTTCAGCAGATTAACAACTCTAGCTTGTCACAAATGTCAACAGTGTCCTGCAGGCACAGTATTTAACCACTTAATGATGGGTTTGTCTCCTACTATCCATTTTATGACGAGATTTAATAAGACTATCATGCTTGTTTTGCTTTCTTTACATTGTACCCAACAAAAAATGTATAAATTTAATTCGAATTTTAAATGTTTTATAATTCTCCAGTACTGTTTATACAATCAGAGATTTTGTAGGAACACATCAGAACACCTTCATAACCAGTTAAAAGACAGCAAAGACAATGTGCAACGCACAGTAAACTAAAAGAACCACTGATATCTCAGTTTATAGTAGTGAGATCTATAAAAGGATGAATGCTGATTGCTACAGGTTATCACAGGCTTAAAAGTCAATTTTCACCCGTGTAAGTGATTAGCAATTATTGTGGGAATAAAGAGGTGCAGTGATGATGTATATATATGCACATTTTCATGATGTTGTCATGTGCACATTTTTATTGCTCACATTTTAGGCTTTCCTGTTTTTTTAACTCAACCTTTTATTAGGCCTTAAGCCTAAAATGTCAACATGGTAATTAGGCTTTAAACAGCTCTCCCCCTTCCAGTTATTTATTGTAACATGATCAGCAAACAGCAGCTCTGCCTTTACAGACAATACACTGTCGGGGGGGACTACCACTCTAAATACTAATGAATGGGAGAGGTGAGAGGCAGCTTGCAAAACCCAGCAGACATTTTTACATGGAGATGAAAAGGAAAGCTAACAAAAAAGTAAGTTTGCGAGTTCTTACACAGCAGCTGCATTTGCCTGTTTCATGTACACTTGGTGTACATTGCTGGCATGTTTTTTTTTTTTTAAATACCTCTGCAAAGGTGGAAATGGGCTCTAACATGTATCTCTTTATTCAATAACTAGAGTTCCCATTCCACTAAGTCATACACAAGTGTTAGAACTAAACTGAACAAATTGAGAGACAAGTATAGCACATTTTGAATTTAAGAGCCAGCCCTATGACCTTGAGCTGAAGCAGAGCTCATATTTTTCCTGTAGATAAGCTTAAGATTTAGAAGAGAGCTCTGAAGCATGAACATGGAGCAGACATTCTGCTCCTCTCAATGCCATTTTTCAGGATTACATTACAATTAAAAACAGCACAAACTTCATTTTGTAGCAGTAATGTAGAAGATCAGCATAACAGCCAAGGAACAAAAAGCTAATTAAATAAGTTGACTGCGTCTGTACCCATACTTGACTTTTACAGAGTTGGAGCTAAAAAAAACAAGCATATATTTCTATGCATTAGCAGACTTCCTGTATGCTGATGAAATAAAATGTATTTTCTTGTAAGACCAGGGAAGCCAATAATAGATTGTTACACAGAAAAAAGGATACACTTTTTCTTCATAGCAAAAGCTTGAGGGTCAAATATCAAGATCCAAACTTACAGCTTGTATAGCATGTTTACACTGTATTTTGGTTCTTCAGCATAATTGGTTTGATCTCTAAAAGGTCAACGCTCAATGTTTAACGACAAAGTAGTAAATAAAAGTAAATATTTATCTGTAGAAGTCACTGTCCATCTAAATATAAAAGTGACTATAGTAGAACAATTTTGGTCCATAACTACAAGCAGGGACACAGCAGATATCAAAAACACGAACCAATGAACCAGTCAACTGAACAAAGATAGACCACATCCTTCCAACACACATTAACTCTGTTCCAAACACAAAGATGTCCAATGCCCTTTTACAACTATGCCCTTATAATCCTACCAAGTAAGAGACTAAATATGATACATTTCCCCCGTCTAAAAGCAACCAGCATGAAAAACGTTTAAAGCTATTCATATTTATCTTCTGTCTAGCAAATGTTAATTTTATAACCTCAATGACACACAAAAGATTAAACATAGAAACCGCAGCGTGCTTTGAAGTGTGCTATGTAAGCAATAAGAATACTACTACTCCTATGACACTGTACCTTGTTCCACCTTTATAGTGCTCCATTTTAAGATACTTTTCAGCTCCTACTGCTGGTAAGACAATACCTTGGTAGTATAGCGACAATTAATATATTTTCATGTTAGTAGTGACCATTAATATTTTTTATATTTATAATCGGTTTTGAAAAGCACAACTAATTCAGGCCTGTCTAGACAGGAACTTTAATCATGGGCAATGCGTAGTTATATGCCTTGCTAATTCCATTGCCAGCACATTACATAATGAACCAAAACAAAAACAATTAACAGAATGTTATCAAAGGGGATATAGGAAATGCATTAGCTCAAAGATTTCACACATTTGGACGTCATGTATAGCGTCTAAAAGCCACAAAAATTAAGGTATGTCCATAAGGCATAAAAAAATTATTATTTTCTCAAACCAGCAAATACAATATTCATGGAGTATACAGGTGAAACATGTACTGGTATGTGTGTGGCATTTTCCAGTTAACTGGTGAAAAACCCCAACCACTTTCACATAGATATATTGCCAACAATTACTGCAATGCAAATATCCTTTGTATTGTTTTTAAATGGATACAGAGAAGAAAAAAAATGCACACAAATGACAAATGAATGCAGCATTCAAAGTGAAGAAATTAAACCAATTTAAAAATGATAGAGTCAGGTAAAATGATTGCAAGTAATCATGGTTGATGCTGCAGTACATGGCAAATTCCAGTGCAGACATAAAACCAGCTCATACAGAAGGATCCATTGCATTTACACAGTGATTGCAGAGCTTAATCTGTATTGAACAATAGCTAAAACCCCAGCTATGCTTCTGTTGCTGAATGTGAATAATGTAGATTTAAAGGATTTAAGCGGCTTGTCTAATCTCAGCTGCATTATTGTTAAATGCATTTTTATTTTTGCTTCTTAAGCCTCCATGCACCTGCTCTGTGGAATGAGTATGTTATCAAGATCACCAGCATCGGTCTGTTTTGGTTAGATTAGTCTCGTGTTGATAAGACAATCATACTGAGCCTTTTGAACAGTCTGGAGTGACCTTTCAACATAAGTGCAATATGAATGAAAATTATTTTTGTAATCCTCGGGGATTCAGTACAATTATTTGTAGTAGAGCACTGGTCTATTTGATATTTTCTATTTGCTTGAATAGAAAGAGTAAAAAAAGAAAAAGTTATATTTATTACAAATTAAACTTTCATGCACAAAAGAGTAAGGAGGTAGAAGGTCAAAACTCGAGAAATTGTTTTTCTGTCAAATTTAAAGGGGAAAAACAAAAAATGCAAAAATCAAGAAGGCACCAGTCACACCAGTGCAGAAGCGTTTCAGCGCGATTTTTGAAAGGGTGTTTTTAATTGCGCTTAAGCTCTGAAACGCAATAACAAACAGCCAAGAACGTGCTGATATTTCCATTGAACTCTATATGGAAAACGCGCTGATCAGTGCAAAAAAAGTAACTCAGGGAGCATTTTGGTTGGCAGGCGGTTCAGATTGAATGAACGGTCCCGATAGGAATGTATGGGGTTGTTCAGCGCATACAGATCATTGATGTGGGTGTGTGTAGCGATTACTCTTCCCTTTCATTGATTGTATCACTGCAGCTGGTCTCCCATCTCCTGTCGGGCCCCAGTGGCACTGGAGTAAAGCGGCTCTGTGATTGGCAGAAGAGAATCATGTGCCCTCAGCTATGGATAAATGATAATCCCACCATGTTGATGCACTAACTGCTTGCTGGCTGGCCACCATGTTGATATACCTGTGGTCAGTGTCTGCTCCCTGTAGCGCCCAGATCTCCACCGTGTTCAGTACTTCAGTGCCCTCTTTCTCTCGGCTCCATATGTAGCTGTACGTATGCCATGGACTGATAAGCGTTCGAACATGCACGTTAAATTGCACATGGTGTGAATGGGGCTCTTTAGGCCTCTTTCAGGAAGCTACTTGATTGCACCTCTCAGCCCAGGCACTAGTGCTCAATAATAATAAAACCAAGTATTTCCTTTAGAACGGATCACTGTGAAGGGGCTGAGAAAAACCTGGAATCAGCCATCTTGTCTGATTGTACAAAACATTTAAAAGGTTAAATTATTTTAAAAAATTATTTTTCAGTATGCTGTGTGACTAGGAACACAAAAACAGAGTGATTTTCTCATATTTGACTGCAAAAGTGAAAATACACTTTACATTTTTGAAATAGTGTTGCTTTAATGACAAATATAAATAAAAGGTACAGGCACAGAAAAAACAGAGCGTAAAGATATACTGAAAGAATTCTGCTAATTGTG